ATTTGATCAAGGAGCATGTTGTGCACACCCGACTATATGCCTTCATGGGTCAGGTAACACCCACCTCAGGATGGGCAGCACAGGTTATGCAGCAACTCGCTGAGCCATGGGTAAGTGTTCAGTCTCTACCAAGACCCAATAGCATGTAAATGTCTCAAGAGGAGAGTAATTATCCACAGAGGATGATAGGACTTTGCTCTAAAACCATCAGAGTCTGTGCTGCGGTTCATACAGAGGGGCCTGCCAAAGGCTTCAAAGAGCATCCCTTTCTGTCATGACACTTCCAGCTCCTCCCACAGCATCCTGGACTTGATGCAGGGCCTTTTCTCCTTCTGGACCCAGTTCAAATGCAGGCCAGAGTCATACACTCTTAGAATAGTTTCCTCCAAAACCTAAGGAAACCCACTAGGCATTGTGCCTCTTTTTGACTGTAGAAGGGACAGAACAAAACACTTATCCTTCACTTGGGAAGAGAGATCTTGATGTGACCCAAAGCATGGGATGATATGGACCCCAGCTTGCAGGGTCCGCGTGTTGTGGCTGTGACAAACAAATTCACACGGACTACAGAAGTCCAGTGGAGAAAAAAGGACAGCATGGCCACTCTCTGAGTGAGAGAGGGCCCTGACCCCTCCCTGGACAGGCTTTTTTTTATTGCTTTTCTGGGTACATTACATTGAGGATGATCCTCATTTACTATGCACAGGTTCGCTGTAGGTGATTACCTTTTTTTCACAGATAATAAAGCAAAGAATGTTGCTAATTACTTCAAAGAGAAGGATGTTTCAGATCAAGGGGAAAAGTGGTTGAACTGGTTATACACTCCATACTGGGGAGATTTAGCACAGATTTTAGGAAGTAACTTTAGACACATGCAGTAAACATTATCTACCTCAATTCAGGATGACGGAGTTTTAGCAAAAGCAAGCCTCAACGCAGCCTAGGTACAATGCAGGCCTGATTCCCCATAGGAGAACCTATCCATGGGTGTGGGTCCTGTGTGCCGACCTCACTCCCCACGGCCTTTCCCCGTAGGGGCTGGGCTACATTTCCCAAACCACGTGGGTAGGTTCCCTATACTGGGATACCTAGACATTTCACTGAAGTGGAAGACCCCTGAATTTTTGTCAGATTTATTTCCTACCCTCTGGCACACAAATGTTACATTAATAAGTCTACGATAGTTTTTAATTCTTGTGCACTAGGTCCAACCAGCATGTTATCATCAATGCGACGGGCTGGTATGATGTCTTATGGAAGAGAAGGGCATTCAAGATCTCTGTGGACTAAATTATCACCTAAGAGTAGGAAGCTGATATAACCCTGAGGTGGGACAATGTTAACCCCATTACAGTTCTCTTAGTGAGCATGTCTCCCAGGTAATAACAGCAGCTGACATTTACAGAGCATTTATCATGCACCCACAGCTGTTCTAAGCACTTGGCATATTAACTAATTTATGTGTCATAATGACTCTTAATATCTTCATCTTGCAGATGGGTTTACAGAGAGGTTAAGTGATTTCTCCTGGATTACTCAATGTTTAATTCTGAGCAACAACATCAAAATAAAGACAAGATATGATGGAGTAGGCAATACTAAGAAAAACTGCACAAAACACCACTTAAACAGCTTTTAGTCATTTATTTCCTTCAACAAGCCAAACAACCACAAGCAAAGCAAGAGGAGACAGCAGGTGGAAGGCACAGCACCATGTGTTCAGGTATTAACTAGTGCCTCTCACTGTTTGGCTGTCACTTATTCCCAGCCAGTAGATCTGGTGGTCTCCGCTCACATTGGTCTGTGCCCCAACCTTTATCAGGGGTAAGAGCTTCCCCATGGTATGCAGTACTCTTCAACATGAAGGCAGCTCTTGAGATCATTGTTCATCATGGCTTGGTGGACTTAATAGATACAAGATTCTACCAGTGAACTTGGATCTGGAGCAGATTAATGAGAAGTATATGGATGAAATAACTATGCCAAGTCTAAGAGAAACATGAAAACTGTGCAAGTTTATGATTGTGTGACTTACAAAGTGTCCATATAATCCCCTTAGGGAAAAACCAACATCATGACACACTCCAGAGTGCTATGTGCTCACCTTTTAAAACCCCTTCCTTGGACATGATTTTTCTGACAACTATTTTGAAAATAAGACACTATTGCAATTCTTGGAGATATAAGAGACTGTATATAATCTTAAATTTTCAGGTGAGAAAACATTTAAACTGGATCTTTCTTTTCTTAAGGTTCCTGTTACATGTAAAATGGTGGATATTTATTCCCTGTCACTACCTTTTTCATGAAGGAAGTTGTGAGAAGACAGCTATCAATAGTGGCTCTGAGTTCCTAGTAACACTATGACATATAAGGGAACAAAACTAACACTGGAGGAGTACTTAGAAAACACTTAGGTCTTTTAATCCTCATGACATGCTACAATAAAATCAGAAGTTTGGAATGACAGAGTTGAAGCATATCTACCAAGATTAGCAAAAAGAGTAATCTTCAGAGATGTGATTCCAGCTCAGGTTTGACTCCACACTTTGCTTTCTTCACTGGGGTATCATGCATTCCTCATGGGACTGTGTTTAGCTGTAAACGATTAGGTAATGATATCTGCTCTTTGTGTTCAGAGCTCAACATTAATCCACATAAACCTAAACCTTATGAATACTTAATGTTAAGTACTTTTACTACTTTCTTCTGGGGGGAAAAAGCAATTTCTAATTGATGGACTGCCATTTCTAGACAGTTTGCTAGTAGTTTCAAGCAATCCAGCCTTTTTATCTTTAGGCAGCAGGTATTTTATTTTACACCAGTAAACAGACACAATAGATGCATTGTAAATCAGGGTGAACATTATTACTTCTCCTGATCTGTAAGTTATTGGCTAGCGGGACCAGATAAGGTAATCCTATGCCTCCCCAAGGCAAGTTACAAACATCTAAGGTTTTATGTTGATTTACCCCCAGTCCTGAGTGCTACTCTGTGCTGTGCATGTATTTAAGACTCAAAACCAGGAGAATGCGTGTTACGGACAAATTTTAGTTGCACTGATGGAGTTCTCCTAACAACACACATTTGTCAATTATGAACAATGACACAAATTTATGAAACAGATGGATAATGTTCAAGTTATAATCTGTAAACCCATATTAGATGACAATCAATGTCACTCATAATACTATGTTCCTTACCTTGTTGTATTTCGATGGTAGTCTTAAATAAATCTATTTATTTACATGGGAATATTAACATTACATTTATGAAGTGGACCCCAAAAATCTAGAATTTTCTTGAGGGTGGGTCCTTTGTAGTACAGGCTTCCCCAGCTAGGTGAGTACCAGCTGGCATTGTTGTGAGAGACTGCATTTGGCTTCAGTGAATTTTTTTGAAGACTCTTTCATAGCATTTGCCCATTTCATGATGAGTGATTTACAAGCACATCTGCCCACACCATGCTGAGTATTTTGCAGTTTTTTTACCAAAAACAGCAAGACCCGTGTCCCACCCTTCCTTTTCACCCAAACTGGTCCCGAGTGACTTTTTGTTTCCCTGGATGAAAAATGTCCTCAAAGGGAAACATTTTGCTGATGTGGAATAGGTGAAACAAAAAGAGCAGAGGCATCAAAATTGATGAGTTCAAAAACTGTTTTGAGCTGTGAAAAAACATCTCAATTGGTTATTGCATCAAATGGAGAGTACTTTGAAGGTAACTAAAGTTTAAACAGGTAAGAATAAATACACCACTTTTAATAAATAAATTCTGTTTTTTCAGGTCCTTCCTCATATTATATTAAAGATAGATAAAACAAGAATTTATCACCTGGTTTAATATTCTTGTGGTAGATTTGTACTTGATCCATCTAAACCTTGTTTTTCCTTAAGACACAGAATCTCCATGTGTTCATACTATTGGAATAATGCTGTTTATCTAACCTTCTACAACGCCTAGTTTGCTATTGAATGGGAGACGTGAAATGGAGGCCTCTTAAAAATTACCCCATGCACTGCAAATCTTTTTTGATGGCAGACAAAAAAGTAGGTTTAGGCAGTGGAAAAAGCAGTTGCTGAAGAATGGCATCTGAAGATGAGTGATGGATAGCAGTGAGGTTTTTATACTTTTGGGACGGGGTGGGTAAGAGAGATGACAGGAGTGGAGAGGGCAGATTAAGCCAGAAAGAATGAAAAAGAAAGGAACATACAATTACTTGAGTCGAACTTAAGGTGAAAATACAAGTACAAAGATAATAGAAAAATTCTAATTTTAATAATTAACATCTATTCAACTACTGATTTGATTTTGCAAAGAGAAATCATAGACACCGAATAGTTCCATAGATTGCTGAAATTTACATAGCTAGTAAATGACTGGGCTTGAATTCGAATTGTTGCAATCGGATCCAGTATTTTCAAAGGGAGTATTACGAAAGCACACAGAGTGAGGAAACTGCAAGAGAGGGGATAGGATATAGAGACCAAGGGGCTAAATGGGGAAGGGGAGAGAAGACTGCATGAAAAGAAGATTACCAATGGGCTAATTATAGTTATGCTTTATTAACGGACACAACGCTTTGCATACGTTGTTAGCTCACTGAATGCTGCTAACAATTCTGTGAAGTACCTAGTATTCCATTTTCCAGACGAGAACACTTGATAAATGAAAAACGACATTTTCTTCTTGCACTGAGTTACACCAGAAGAGCAGGCTTCGGGACAAGGTAAGGAAGACTAAAGGAGACTTGACAGAACGGAGCAGGACAAGGTAAGCAAGCTGAGAGTCAGAAATGCAGAAAAGCTTCCCGTTTACGTAGTGACTGGTTCCAGCTTTCAAATTTTCCCCGCCGGCCGCCCCTTAGCCACAAGACCACGCCCCCTTCTACGGCCTGTCTCCAGAGCTCCCAATGCTTCCCTCCTTCCCTTTGACCACACCCACTTCTCCAAGCATCATTTCCTGTGCGCTGGATGTTAATTGGTCCAGAAGTCGGAAGTGAGGGCGGGCGGAGCGGCCGTTGCCGCAGTGACAGTGCTGGGGGAGTCCGAAGATGGCGGCGTCGCGTCGCTCTCAGCATCATCACCACCATCATCAACAACAGCTCCAGCCCGCCCCAGGGGCTTCGGCGCCGCCGCCACCACCTCCCCCACCACTCAGCCCCGGCCTGGCCCCCGGGACCACCCCAGCCTCCCCCACAGCGGGTGGCCTGGCCCCCTTTACCTCCCCGCGGCACGGCCTGGCGCTGCCGGAGGGGGATGGCAGTCGGGATCCGCCCGATAGGCCCCGATCCCCGGACCCGGTTGACAGTGCCAGCTGTTGCAATACCACCAGCACAATCTGTACCGTCGCCGCCGCTCCCGTAGCCCCGGCGGCCTCTCCATCAGCTGTCGGGGTCCCTCCCAACCCAGCCGGTGGTGGCAATAACAATTCACCGTCGTCCTCTTCTTCCCCGACTTCTTCCTCATCTTCTTCTCCGTCCTCCCCTGGATCGAGCTTGGCGGAGAGCCCCGAGGCAGCCGGAGTTAGCACCACAGCAACAGTGGGGCCTGGGGCACCGGGACCTGGGCCGGGGGTCCCAGCAGTGAGCGGGGCCCTACGGGAACTGTTGGAGGCCTGTCGCAATGGGGACGTGTCCCGGGTAAAGAGGCTGGTGGACGCAGCAAACGTGAATGCTAAGGACATGGCTGGCCGGAAATCTTCCCCCCTGCACTTCGCTGCAGGTCAGAGACTTTTGAGTTGCTTTTTAAGGGTTTTGGTGTTGGGGACTGGGCTCTGGGTCAGGAAGGAAAACAAGTTATTTTGATAGAACAAAATGGGGGCGTGGTTATGGTTCTTTAACACCTCACCGGAAGACTAGATAGAGGTTCCTTTCATTGATAGTGTCTGGGTGACGGGGGCGTGGTAGGGGAACGTGGGAATCCATTCTTTTTGGTGTTTGCACAGTGTTATTTGTAACTCTTTCCCTAATCCCCTTAGAGGTAGTCTTTGGGTGTATACGTAAACATTTTAAGTTCTGAGTGTGTAGGAATAAAGTTAGATTTGGGCAGCGTTACAGTAGTTTTGTCATGTGTTTGCTAGTTTATTTCGTTTTTAAAACAAAAGTATTTCCCCTGAGTACTAGAACAAAGGAAGTTGAATGTAACTCAACAAGTGTTTAAGGACCTGTCATAGCCTTAGTAAGCCAGTGAAAAACAAAAATTAAGTTTATGAAACTTCCCTTTTCTCAAGTTTACATACAGTCTGGGTGGATCCAAATATCGTTATTTAAAACAACTGGAGAAGAATATTTCAATGCATTATGTGATAACAAGAAATACAGGCTTTGAAGTTCTGGACACTGCTCTTTGTTAGTTGTCTAACATAGACAGTTTAGATCATCTCATTGCCTCCGTTTTCTCATGGCGAAAATTACATGCAAAGGTCGTGTGGGTAATTAGTGAGAAGCATTTGGCACATAAATTCTGCAAAAAAAGTGCTAATTCCTAAACCTTTCCAAAAGACCTTTTGGAAATTCCAAAAAGACCTTTTGTCTTTTGTCCTTTTTTCTTTTTGCACTAATTGACTATTTTCTTTTAAAAACTTACAGTAAAAACACTTTATATTTTTATAAAATACAGAAAACAAAGGACATACTCGGACATACTCCCACTGCCTTGATAGCTGCCTAAATATTGACATATTTAAAAAGTTGTAATACATCAGGAATATTACGTTAGAAATGTACATGTTATATGTTCATTATACAGTTTATACAGGACAAAAATATACAAAATTAAAAAACACCATACACACACCTCAAAGATGATAAGTCAAAGATGCCCTCTGTTAAGTTTCTTGATGTGTGTGTGATATGTATCAGGCCTTCAGTTTATTCTTGTAATGGTAAAACATTTAAGAACTTAACGATATGTATTATTTAAATTTACCACAACTTGAATGATATTATTGTCATTTAACAGATGACAACAGTGAATTATATGTACTGTTTAAATCAGTCCAAATTCAAGAAATAGTGTAACTGGTTTGAACTCCAAACAGTTTGATTTTAGAGCTTGTGAAATCAAGATTAAACTACTATAACCTATTCCCGAGTTAATGTCGCTTTTAGTTTTTATATCTGTGATGAAGAGTTTTTTCTTTCCCAGTTTCGGGGGAAGTAATTGGGACACGTGTTTTAAGAGTACATTCATGTGTTTTTATTGCAGCCTATACTTAGAAACATTTTACATTGTCACACACACAAACTGAACCAAAAGTTTCAGGAAACATTACTTTTTTTACTACCTGTGCTGTATTCTGATATTTTATATCCTATTCCATTTTATTTTTTACAAATGCTGTTTGTGATTCATCACCTGGCCCTGATCAACAATGCGAGAAACACAGGAAATCTTTGTTAGATTACTGGATCCATTCTTGACAAGTAGACTACTATTCGGAAAGTAATGAGTTGAATCATAAATGCGCTATCATCTAACTAGACATTTCCTCAAGGATATTGCTTATTTTAGCTGAAATAGCATCTTTTTTTAGGCCAAATGAAAGGTCTATGACTGATGTTATAAATTAACGAAGGTTGTTTATTTTTGCGTACTTTATTCCAAATTTGACTATTTTAACATATTGTTTCACACATCTTGCAACTCCTCAGAATACTACTTTGTAAGTAATCACAGATGATCATTTATTTGTGATAATGAATTTATGTAGGATTAGCCACACATAGAGTTTATCTCCCCCATCACTTCTTTTGTTTGCCATAGTAGTTAACTTTGTATTGTTTTGGAGTTTTATGTATACCCAGATAAGCAATGAAGACAAGCTAGAGTCTTGTAATTTTTGTTGTAATTATGAGAACCTAACTTTGAACTGGTTTTTACAGGAAAAAAAATGGTTCAGTTGTGGAAAACGGACAACAAAAACAGTAAATCTCTCCATGGTATAAAAACAACACCCTGTAGTGAGTTTACCATACTTCATGTTTGTGGGCACAGCGTTGAAACTTTGTAAAATCTAGTCGTCTCCATCATGTATAGGCTGAGTAGTTAAAAATCATTCTCAGTTGGCTGTTAGTTGATTCCAATGCCAGTCTTTGAATTGTCTTGGAATAGCTGTTTTAAAGATGGAAATTGGTACAGTCCCTTGTATGGAAAAGTTTAAAATCTGTACTTCATTTTTTCACAAATGTTTTATTACTTATTATAGGTTAGGTGTTAGGCACCGACACAATTTTGAAATGGCGAATAGTCCATACCCTTATGGAGCTTGGAGTCTACGGGGGGAAGTAAACAAGAACAGTAACAAACCCCACCCCACAAAGTGTGCAACCTAAAGTCACCTAAAGTTATAGGAAGAGTACATTGTACTCTCTGTTCAGCAGATAATAGGGACTCTTGATCTGGTTTTAGAGCGTAAGGAAGTCTCTCTAGATAGAGATTGTGAAGCTGGGACTTAAAAGATGAGTCCAAGGTGGCTAGACATAGAAAATTGGAAGGAAGAATTAATGTTAATTCTTTTTTAAAAATTTTTTTTATTTAGTTATTTTTCAAGTACAGTTTTTTGTCTGTTTCTCCCATCCCAGCCTCCCCTGCCCCTTGCTCCCCACCTCCCTCCCTAATGTTAATTCTTGCCTAATGTTAATTAATGCCTTTTTTCTATTTTAAAATGAGTTTATAGTTCTATAGAATGAAATGAAACCATTTTTAAAGATCTCAGAAATGATGTGAAGTCGTATTTAAACCCTTATGACTTTTTAAAAATATTACCATAAGAGTAACCAAAATTCTTTCCAGCAGCACAATTAAGAATCCTTTCTATTCCATTTTGGAATGTGATAATTATTTGTTTAACATACGGCTTAGAGACAGTGTTATTAATGGAATTACCCTATCCACATTTAGAAACACAATCTTCGGTTTCCATTGTTGATAAGTTCTCAAAATACTATTTATAACGCCTTCTTACAGAGGGCTCTATCCAAATGAGCCAGTCTTACATTGTTGTCAAGAGTTTATGTAAGACTTTCTCTTCTGCAGATAAGATCCTTGACCCTGGTTTTCTATTGTTCAGAGGACAACAGTCCAAACTTTATAAATAGTATCAATTTGGAGCAATGATATCTTCTTAGTTTAGTGCCTAGTAGTGACATACTTTTGTTAAAGGACTCTGATGAGGTCTCTTTTTAAAGAAAAGTTTAGGTGAGGTCTTACTCAAAAAAGCTTTTAACTAGCATTAAATTCTGGGATTTCATAGTATTTACTTTAAATTGAATATATTTTGAAATAGGCTTCCTGGTAGTTCATTAACAGATGACTTGGATTAGGATGTGTAATGTGAGATGTTTCAGTATCAAAACCAGCAAAGTATATGGGGCAGGTTTATGCTTTCTTTTAATTTGGGGAGACATCTACAGCAACACATTTAACCACAGAGATGACGGCACCCGACTTACTCCTGCCTCTCCTGATTTTTCAGCCTGACCCTGCTTGCCTTTTTTCCTTATCACTGTACAAGTGTAGTTTCTACTAAAAAAAACAAAAACAAAAACCCACAGGGTGTCCTCTAAACCATGGCACATACGTGTGTAGGAAAAGGAGTCAGAGCGCCCAGTCCTCTGGTGGGAGGGAATCTTTTTGTCCTTTTCGTCATCTGGCAAGGTCCTTGCTTCTACTTTTGAGCCAAAGTCCTGCCTCAGGATTTAAGATGAGTCTAATTTGGTAATAGAAGAAAAGGAACTAGTTTCATAAATATCTTCCCAGGCTTAAAATTGTTGGCTATAGCTTGGATTTCTGTTACTTAGTGTTTTTGTAAAACCCACAGTTTTCCTCAGGTAGCACTCAGCAAACTGGTACTAAAGAGAATGTCCACATTCTGATAAAGGACAGCCATGAAAAACTTGAAGCTGACATATTTAATGGTGAATATTGAACATTTTCCCCTTAATGGCTAGAAAATTAATGCTGTGTACTCTAAGCCACTTTTGTTCAACCCTGTCAAGAAAAAGAAATACAAGGCACAAGTGTCTATTTGCAGATCACATGATTCTTTAATGAAAATCCTAAAGAATCTACAAAAGAGCTAATTAGTTCTATGGGTTTAATATTGAAGTTAATCATACAGCAAACATTTGAAGAATAAAAATTTTCAAAATCTTTTATAATATATCAATACACATTTTTAAAAATTAGGAATAACAAATGTCATGAAAGACCCCTACACTACAAATACAAAAAAAAAAAAAAGAAAAGAAAGAAAAAGAAGCCTATCCCCATTCATTTTCACAGCCAGAAGTTATATGGGGACTTCTCTTCCTGGCACTGGACCCGTGCACTGGGGGACCTGATGTTGGGTTGGGACCCCTTGCTCCTTGGGGTAACTGCCACCAAGATATCCCTCCCAACTTCTACCCAGCGCACATGGGTGTGGGGACCAGCCTGGTCTGTGTCTCTGCCCCTCCTACCAGTCTCAGTGTGGCTTATTTAATTCCTTAGTTGTAGGACTTTCATTCAGCCAGATTTCAGGTGGTTCTGAATGATGGTTGTTCTGAGTTTAGTTGTAAAATAATTTCGACGTGGTTGTGGGAGGAGGCAAGTACTGCGGTTGCCTGCACTGCCATCTTCAGCCATCTGGACCGGAAGTCACTTGGGAAGTGCTCTTGAAAAGAGTAAGTATTCAGCAGTTGTTGGTTATAGTGTAAATAAATCAAAGCAGTTGATACTGT